CAGCATTCCAGTCTGGGTGACAGAGTGAGCCTCCAACTAAAAAAAAAAAAAAAAAAAAAGGCAGCCATTGTGGAAGCCGCATTAGAGACCTTTCAAGTTTCCATGTGTCCAAAATAGGAGGAATTAATCTATTTTCTTAGCATTCATTTCCCTCCTGTACCTGATCATTTGCATCTCTCACAACTTCTGGATTGTGAGTTCCTTTTGGGGAGTATAATCTTATTCATCCTCGCGGTGTAACGGCTCATGCCATGCAGCCTTTCTCAGTCGGCAGAGCGTCTGCTGCTTAGATCCTCACCCAGTGTTGCACCTTTCTCCTTTATAGATGAGAAGACAAAGTCTCAGAGAAATGAGAAATGATGGGAACTCTTTTCTGTCTTTTGCCTCCACAATAATGATGGCTTTCTATCACAGCATCTCTGTACAGGGGAGCAACTCCAAAGACATTGTGGGATGCGATCTCTACAAACTTCCCTCAGCTTGGTATGGTTAGAAAATGAGATTGGGGCGGGAGTGAAAACGGAGGCAGAAGGCAGCAGTAAGCTCTGGATGATAAGTTGGGACCGGACTGGGGAAGGGCCTAAATGCAATCCCAAGAAGTGACGGTAGACCAGCCTGGTGGCAGCCAAAAGCCAAGGGGTGTGGGGTGGAGTTGGGAATGAACAGATGGGATTATGCAAAGGGTTCTTTTTAGTTTTTGAGTTGGAGTCTCACTCTGTTGCCCAGGCTGGAGTGCAGTGGCATGATCACAGCTACTGCAGTCTAGACCTGCTGGACTCAGGAGATCCTTCTACCTCAGCCTTTCAAGTAGCTGGGACTACAGGTGTGCACCACCACGCCCAGTCAATTTTCTTTTAAATTGATTGTAGAGATGAGGTCTTGCCATGTTACCCAGGCTGTTTTCAAACCCCTGTGCTCAGGCAATCCTCTCGCCTCAGCCTCACAAAGTGCTGGGATTACAGGCATGAACCACCATGTCCGGTGCCAAGGGTTTTAGTTGCTTAGAATTCTTAGGTCTGTATTAAACTATGTCTGCCTTGTTTCTCTCCTCAGAATGGGAGGTCACCAAAGCTGAACTGAGCTTCCTTACTCACTCACCAAGTGAGAACCTGTGTGTCAGGAATTGCACTAAGGTAGGGACACAGACATGCACACTCATTCTATGTGAAGGTGATGCACAAAAATTATTATGCAAATAAATATGTGGGAAATTATGTAAAGAAGCACCTGATGCTATGATACCGGATAACAAGGTGACCCTGCTGGTTGGAGGTACGTTGGGGAGGGGTCAGTGACGGTTTCACGAAGAAAGTGCTGTCTAAGCTGACACTCGAAGCATTTAGGCTTGGGAAGTGGCCAAGTCTTCCAAGTGGAAGGAATAGAGTGTGCAAATGTCCTGAGGCAGGCACAATTTTTGCTTATTGGAGGGATAGGAAGAGTGTCAGAACTCCGATAAATAGGCCTCCTCCTTCCTGTCCCAATTTCTCTCCCCTGGCACTAGAGAAGTCTCTGAGGTGCAGGTCCCTTGGGACAGGGGAGACAGTTTTGGCAGCACATGTGACCATAGCAAAAGTCTTCTGCCTGATGAGTTCTGAGAAGGTTTAGTGGGAAAACCTCAGGGTGGGAGGTTTGCTGTGGTTGGCAGAGGGGCGTGGATGGCAGCTGAATGGGTGGAGGAAACAGAGGGGGTGAGCTGGGTATTCGTGTTCTATTTTTTGCTGGGAAAGCGCAAGAGCCTTACACACAGATGCACGACTCAAGCCAGAAGGTGGTATGTATGAGATGGGTCCTTCCTCAGCTACTCACAGAGTCAAGGTGTTGTCCCATTGCAATCCCCTTGGGCTCTTTATCATCCAAACAGCACTTGGGGACTCACCATGACTCCAGTCCTCTTCTTGGTGCAGAGATCAATCAGGCCTGGTCCCTCCAAGGAGAAGACTAGGTTGGATACAAATAATTATCATATGGGATAATTTAATACCTAGTGTCAGTCTCCTCATCTGTAAAATGGGGACCATAATAATAGAATATACTCCAAAGTGTTGATGCATGGGTAAAGTGCTTATCACAGTGCCTGAAGCAGAATAATACTTGGTAGAGAGGATGTTCTGGAAAGGCTGGGCACCCCAGGGAGGAAGCTGGCTCTGGGCTGTTGGGGAAAGGGGTGTGAAAAGGATGAGCTAGCAAAGTGCTCTCCTTCTATCTGCCCCTACAGTAGCCAGAATGCTCCTTAGGTGGTCTTCAAGACCCTGCCTACCACATTCCACTCTCTCCCTACTCACTCCCCGCCTTCTTCTCTCCCTGGCTTCCTTTAGGTCCCTCTGACCACAGGGCCTTTGAACACATGGCCCCTTTGTCTGGAATCCTCTTCCCTTATTTCTTTCTTTAGTTTCTCCCCAAATTTCACACCTCATGTTAGGTGACATTTACTCAGAGAAGCTGTCTGGAATCTCTGGGTTTTGTAGACCCTGCCACCTTCCTCAGTTTGTAACTATCACTTCACTAGTGTGATTTTAGAGCTGATGTTTCTCTCCCTCACTGGGCTGTAAGCCCTGGGAAGCAAGGGCTGCATCTGGATTTTTTGTACCAGCAGATTCCCCAATAGTCCCTGGTTCTTATACTAGAAGGCCTTAAAAAAAAAAAAAATATATATATATATATATATATATATATTTGAGTCAGAATCTCCCTCTGTTGCCCAGGCTGGAGTACAGTGGCATGCTCAAGGCCACTGCAGCCTCAACCTGCTGGGCTATGATCCTTCTGCCTCAGTCTTCCAAGCAGCTGGAACTACAGGCATGTGGCACCGCGCCCAGCTAATTATTTTAAAATTTATTGTAGAGACGAGGTCTTGCCAAGTTGCTCAGGCTGGTCTCGAAAACCTGGGTTCAGGCAATTCTCTTGCCTCTGCCACCCAAAGTGCTGAGATTATAGGCTGAGCTACCGTGTCTGGCCTAAAATATTTGTTGAGTGCATAAATGGGGTGCAAAAGAAGCATGAATAGTAATGGTTATTTGTGGAGCACTTACCATGTGCCTGGCATTGTGTTAAATTCTTGTCTCACATCCTTTTTTTTTTTTTTCTTTTTGAGTCAGGATGTCACTCTGTTGCCCAGACTAGAGTGCAAGTGGCACAATCGGGACTCACTGCAGCCTCAAACTCTTGGGCTTGAGTGATCCTCCTGCCTCAGCCTCCCAAGTAGCTGGGACTACAGGTTAATTTGTGTGTGTGTGTGTGTTGGAGTCTCACTCGGTCGCCCAGACTGGAGTGCAGTGGCCGCTCCCGGCCACCGCAGCCTCGACCTGCTGGGCTCCGGCGCTCCTTCTGCTCAGCCTTCCAAGTAGCCGGAATTACAGGCACGCGCTACCACGCCCGGCTGGTTTTTTGATTTATCGTAGAGATGAGGTCTCGCTGCCCAGGCGGGTCTCGAACCCTCGGGCTCAGGCAGTCCACTCACCTCAGCCTCCCAAAGGCGCGGGATTACAGGCTGAGCCACCGAGCCCGGCTTTTTTTTCTTTTTTGGAGAGACGAGGTCTCGCTATGTTCCTCAGGCTGCTCTTGAACTCCTGGGTTCGAGTAACCCTTCCGCCTCAGCATCCCCAAGGGCTGGGATTACAGGTGTGAGGCACCGCGCCCGGCCTGTATCCTGTTGTTTAATCTCACCAAGATCCCTCTGAGGGAGGTGATGCGATCTTCCTCACCTTACAGACAGGGAGAATGAAGTTGAGAGAGGTTAAACGACTTGCTCAAGGTCACTCTGCCCGACGTGCTGGGGCGGGAGGCGGGATTCACGTCCCGGCCCTTCCGACTGCAAAGCGGCCAGGCGGTAGGAGGCGAGTCCAGCCTGGGGGG